GAGGGAAGGCAGCTAGTCATCACCACCCACCAAAACTCTTGGGCTACTCTTTTACCAACGAATAGTGGGATTGACCATCACATTATAACGCCCCCACGGCTGAAAGGGCGAGCATGTTTGGTGTGACGGGGATTCGAACCCGCGACCCTCAGATTGCAAGTCGAGTGCCTTAACCACCTGGCCATGCCGGGCCTGCCAAGAATGACAGAACTATTCTACTATCAGAAGATTGTCTTCACTTCCAGAGTATATGCAAAATACATGTCATTTTTGGTCATCCCATTATAAAATAAATGAAAGAGGTTAAACCAACCAGTAACCATCTGATCTGCTAGTTATGGGAGTTAAAAACCAATGGGATTTGCAACATTATAGTGGTTCTATATTACATTAAATAAAAAGTGATAAAATTAGTGCGTAGACATGATAGGTTTGAAGAGGTTGTGGTGTTCAGTAAAACTATGAAGCCCATAATTGACAGTAAGAAGACTGTTTCTTGTAAAACGCTTGAAAAGAATCCTTGTCTGCAAAAAATTAAAGTGAGTTTATTAAAGCTCTCCACAAAATCTTGTACTGTTGGAAAAATAATATTGAAAAGTGTATTATTTCAAAGTTAAATGTGTTTTATTGGAAACTTTGATTGTAAATGTTTGATCAACGATAATTTTATCCATATCAAGGTACCATGCTTTGTTATTAGTGGAAAAGTAAGTTGTTGTTGATATATTTCTTTGGTAATATCAACGTAAACCTTGAAAATAAGGTAGAAGTATGTCATCAGTCTACCTACAAGCACAAATAATGGCCAAAGTTTTACAATAATCTCTTGTACTAAGGTTTGTAATATATAAAAATTCGAATTTAAATAAATATGAAACTGCAACTTGTGGACTGAACTTGAATTTGTTGAAAGGCAGTTGGCCAACCTATCCAAATGTATTGTCAAGTAAAAAAATACTTGTTTGTTTTAGTGCAAACTTTACACAGTGGGCTATATTCACTCTGTCTATGGGTTGTATGTAAATCTTCAAAACTACATTCTAGAGAGTAGTGTTTATACAGAAAACTTTGGTTTCTTTATATTAGAGAACCTGCTACAATTAATTTTGCATCTCAATAACTGTAATATCATTTCCATACTAAATTCTGTATTGCCTGTAGCATCACTGACCTGAACTTATACTTATCAAGATTCATACATAATTATTTATTAATTAATGTTTTACATAAAATATAAAATACAAATTATAAAACATATTATTATGAACAAAATTTTTTTTATGAGTTTTAGTAACAATGTTTGAACTTTGTCGATATATTATGTATTACATACTTTCTTTTTTTGTAATGTTTTGTGTATGAATATTTATTCACTGGTAACACTGAGTACTCTTTGAAATATAAAACACACTGAACGGAAAACTTCTATTTCTCTTGCTGAGAGGTAGACATCTTAAAATGTGTTTGATAATGCAAGGGTTTATTAAAAATGTGTTGATGTATTAAATAATGAAAAAAAAGCTAAAATTTTTATTAGTTTTTGGGACTCTATTTTTATTTTTTAAATATAGTATTATACTGCATTCCTTCTTGAACCCACATAAGAATAATATGATTTATTCTGTAACCAGGAGAACACAGTACAAGTACTGGTCTACAGATACGGATGTTCTTTATAAAGTCTCTAACTCAAATTAGTTCATAGACAGAATTTATGTTGAACTAAATAGATTACAGACACAAAAAAACATTACTTTCACATATTATATTTGGCTTAGCCCAGAACTGAGTATTTCCTTGCAAAATTTAATGTACTAATACCAGTTCTTTAATGTAGAAGTCCATGCAATAGGAACATTTGTTTTGGTACTGCCTTCTTTAAAAATGAAAAGACAAAATTAATATATTAGGGATGAGAATGACTTAAAAGAAACACTGAACCTCCAGCCAGCATATGTACATCTTTTACTTACATTTTACAGGACTTCCTTGCTCAGCTTTTCTTGCTGTCCAGTAAGTAATATGAATCAGGAAATTTTGGACTTTCATTTTAGGTTACCATGAAGATTGTAAACAATAATAATGTTAGGAAAAGAAATAGGTTCAAGAAATCAATGTAACACAAAAGTACGAAACACTATAACCTAAACACTTTCTAAAGATAGGGGCAAACTGAAGAAGAAAGGTCTATGTTTCAAAAGTGCTCGGGTTATAGCGTTTTGTATCTCTGTGGTCTGTGGATTTCCATGTTCTTTGGGCTGTTCTGGAGATTGTTGTAAATTCGATGATTTAATTGGGAGGTAACAAATTGGGGTCAAAGCTGGAATGGTTGGATGCCAAGTTTGTGATTTTCTATTGCTATGTATCCAAAGCATAAGAAAAAATTAACAAATCAAATCTGACTATGTAAAAGATTTGGCTGTTTTCCTGCCATCATTGATTTTTGAAATATATTGTCTGTCAGTGAAATAACTGCAAGGTAGTTATCTTTTAAATGCACAAGAAAAGCAAAAATGATTAAGACACGGGTAGGAAAATGTAATAGAAAAGATAGGTAAAGGACTCAAGAACAAATTCAAGTGTAACTAACTAGAAATGAAATGTCTAATATGAAGGTGGATTTGCCAGGAAAGGAGATGGTCACTTGTATGATCGGAGAGAATATATTAAAAGTTTATACTGTCAAAAAGATTATGTGCAACTTGTTTAATTCTTTAAATTACTTTAACCCTTTCTTTGTTAAAAATTGCCATTAAAGTAGCACTTACAAAGTACAGAAAAATAGCCCATATTGCACCTTAGACCATCTAAAACCTTATAGTCTAGTGGCCCCCTGACCTCAGTTTTTTTTTTGGGGGGGGGGGGAACATGCCTTGCCTTTATAGGTTTTTTTGTAAATATGCTGTTGAATAAAGTAAATACTCATCACAAATCTAAGTAAATACTTCCTGCCTGTCCTGATAGAAGTTACATTCAAAACAGATTGTAATGAAATTTGTTTCATAGAGAAAATAATAGGACACAAAAAAAAACTATATAAATAAATATATAGATATACACTCACCTGACATCTCATCAATGTATCAAAGAAGTCATCATCTGGCAAGGCTGCAGTATCTACAGACATTCTGTGTAAAAGATGACGATGTTGTTCCAGAGAATTATTACTGATGAACTGATTCCTGGTTCTGAGGCTCTTTGAAATACCTAGTCCTGGTAGAGTTGGTAAGCTCGCTCTTTGTTCATCCATTCTCTGACTCTGCATTCCAGCAATCAGATCAAATAGGTCTTCTCTCATACTTTGATTTTCTAGTCAAAATAAATAAAATTACACTGACCACCTTAAGTAAGCAACAATTTGTGCTACTTTAACACCTTGATTTTCATTTCCTGTCAGTGCAATACAATATGAGATAGCTGTCTTTAATAACCCAAGATATTGCTATCAAGTTTACAAGTACTAGCCTCTGTCTTGATTTCTATGATGAAAATTAAATACATGCACAAAAATTTTAGTAGGTAGAACTAATGACAGAATATCTATCAGAACAAGTCCTAGTCTTCATACCTAGCCAGATTAACATGAACCAAAACTTTGACTAAGAAACTCTATTAACAGCAATGTAGCTATGTCTACCTAAGTTTTCATTCCATGATCATATAAAAATAAAATAACAGGATTACTAATAAACCAACCTTGGTCTTCATTGTCTAACTGTAGAGAAGCATGATGGAGTGTTGTTGAAGAAGTTCCATTTGCCGTATTGCGTTCAAGGAGAGCTCTGGAACACCGCTGATCATCCATTCTCTTACTCTGAAACTGACTCAGTAGCTCAAAGAAGGAATCTTGGTCAAAAGAGCTTCCCCCAATCTAAAGTACATATAATGCATAATCAGTTCACTTGGTCTTTATTTTCAAACTAAAAATTAAATGTATATAAATAAAACAACTTAAAGTACATATAACACGTAACTAATTAGCTTGTTTATTTAGCAGAATACTGATATAGCTGTATTATCTTCATGACACCCTACTAATGTTGGCACATTAATTGTGTGGCTCATATTTACTATCTATACAAATGACATGCTTACTGACTAAATTTGCAAATATTAAAGAATATTTTATTTGAAACCTTCTTACTTTTTCTTTAGAGGATGAATTTTGGCTATCTCCTGATTTAGGAGAGTCCTTACTAGATCTGCGGTTATCTCCACTTATAAGAACCTTTTTGGGAGATTCTTTGCTTGAGGTCATATTTTCCTTATTTTCCTTTGATATCTGAAAAAATATTAAAAGAATAGTAGTAGTGAGAGTAATATAAGTAAAAACTTTAAAATCACAAATCAATAAACAATTTCTTGGATAAACCTGATAACTGTTACTACTAATAGGTTTCTAATTTTAACCCTATCATAACATTTCTTTTATCTAAAATTCATGTTATATCGTGACTAACACTACAATTTTTACTTTCCATTTCTGTATAACCGTGTATTTTTTGTATGCGAAGAAAGATTTTAGAGGAACTCATTGTGTGTCTTTTGCTTGACTTATTCGGTGAATTTTTTGATAAGATGACCACAGAGAATTCTAGGTAGCATCACAATATGGCTTCAATGGATAGGGTTTTAAGTAAAAAAGATAATAGTAGGGAACATACAAACTTCAATAACAATTATTTGAAGGCAGTCTGCATATAGCATAAAGATCTTTGTAAAATGAGTGATACGTTCAAGTACTGTTTCAAATCCCCTTTTTATTCTAGTTTTAAAATATGAAAAGTGTTAGCTTCAACCAAAATACATGATTATTCTTTTTTTAAATTGAGAAAGATTTGGTTGAGTTAAAGAGATTTATTGGAATGTAGCTTTAAAGGATTGAAAAGTATAAAAAAAATTGTTGTGATCTGGAATGAGGTATTGTAGGCCTATGTTGTGATAATAACATTGATAACATTCAAGCTTATGTTCTTTGAAAATTTTATTATTAGCAGCTACTGATTGCTTGTCATCATTTTGTAAGTAATACTGTTAGGATGTTCACCTCATTTGCATTTATTATGGAATTAATTTACTAATTTGAGATTAAAAATGTTTCAAAGGATATGACCTTGATGTGGATCTTGAATGACTACAATGATATTATCACAGGGTAGTCCCAAAACATCCCATTCCTTAACACTAATAATAAATTTTCTAAACCTCTCAATTTTGGAATTATTTGTCTGTCAGTGGATTTCTGAATTGCTCAATATGTATTATAACAATTTTGTAGTATGAGTCAGAGATAACTTTTACAGAAGTATCTCTAATCCTCAAAAAATTTCAAACCTGATTGATTAATGTTAAATTTTCATTCCTAGTCTTAAGATAACATACTTAATGCAAGAAATTTATAGCTATGATCTGGTGAATGACCAGATCTAGTTAATATTTCCAATTCCTAACCCTACAAAAACACACTTGATGTCATCAAAACAAGCTACAGTTTCATTAATACTGACTTTCTGTTCTTAACTATATACAACTCATTGATGTCAACAAAGCAAGCTACAGTTTCTTTAATGCCAACTTTCTATTCCTTAGTCTACGATAATATATTTGATGTCAACAAATCAAAATACAGTTTAGTTAAAGTCATCTTTCCATTCTTCACTCTATAAGAACACATTTGATGTCAACAAAACAAGTTACAGCTTAGTTAAAGCCAACTCGCTATTTTTAACTATATATAACACATTTGATGTCAACAAAACAAGTTACAGCTTAGTTAAAGCCAACTCTATATGTAACTATATATAACACATTTGATGTCAACAAAGCAAGTTGCAGTTTATTCAATGCCAACCTTCTATTTGTAACCAACAGAAAACTTAAACGATGCAGTTATTCCAATAAATCTGATAGGATTCTGGCTAATACTACTTTCCATTCTCAACTTTTTCCAAGAAACTGCTACTTTCTACATTTTAAAACAAATTTTAGCTGATTTTAACTTATATTCCAACAGAAACAGTTCTAAAACCTTAATTGTAAACTATACTATTGATAATGTTTATATTATATTCTTTACCCTACAATACAGAAACCTCAAAGTGTTTGCATGGATTTTGGGTAATATCTTGTGAAAATAAAGGCTAAACCTTTCAGCATTGTAATAATTCAAGTCTATGCACCAACAGTCGATAATCAGGAAGAGAACACCAGTGTTCATTTCTATGAAGACCTTGATAAAGCAAAAAAGGAATGCAAACCTCAAGAAGTGATAATGATGGGAGATCTAAATGTGCAAGTCAGTTGTGAGCAAGTGGATAATATTTTTGGACTGCATGGACATGGAGAGAAAAATGAAAGAGGAGAGAAATAGATTGATTGGTGTGTTGCAAGTAATGAAGTCATTACAAACACATGGTTTGAGCACCACCCGAAAAGAAGGTATACATGGAAAAATCTTGGAGATAATATTAGAAACCAAACTGATTATGTCACCATCAAAATAAGATTCAGAAATGCAGTACAACAATTGAAAACTTACCCAAAGTCTGACTCCAGAAGCAACCATGTCCCTGTAGTATGCACCATCAAAATAAGACTGAGGAAACTTAAGAATCCAAAAGGAAAAAAGAAGCTTGATTATACAATTCTAATGGAAGAAGATTTGATTAAAGAAAGGCATGCAGTTGCAGTGAAAAACCATTTTCAAGAGCTTGAAAATGAAGAAAATATGTCAAAATGGGAAATTTTTAAAGAAATAGTTTTTAGTTGAAATAATCAAGAAAGTTATTCCACTGAAATTAAGGCAAAAGAAATATAAATGGATGACAGAATAAATCCTTGAACTTGGGAGAAGATGAAAACCTGTAGTATGAAAGAGTATAAGAAACTGGACAAAAGAGTTTGGTCAGTGTGCAATGATGAAAAGGAAAAATTGCTTAAAGAAAAATGTACAGAAATAAAAAAATAAAAGGATAAAGATGTTACATCAATGTATAGGAATGTCAAAGACATCACAGGTAAAGAAGGATGCACTGGTAGTAGATGTTTGTTTGTTTTTTAATTTCATGCAAAGCCACACGAGGGCTATCTATGCTAGCTGTTCCTAATTTAGCAGTGTGAGACTAGAGGGAAGGCAGCTAGTCATCACCACCCACTGCCAACTCTTGGGCTACTCTTTTACCAATGAATAGTGGGATTGACTGTCACATTATAATGCCCCCACCGCAGAAAGGGCGAGCATGTTTGGTGGGACAGGGATTTGAACCAACTGATGTTCACAGACAAAATTAAATTAAGTATATCAGAGCTCACTAAACAGAATACTTAAACATTTATCTTTTTTTACTAATCATCAGAAAGGTTTGACTATTAATAATTTTTTAACATGTTGTAAAAATATTTAAAATAAGCATTCAGTTTATAAGCTCTGTCATTTTTTTTTATTTTTGTTCTCTGAGCATCAGTATTGTTGGTCAACTTGAACATGTTTTGAAAAATAATTTTCCTTCCATCACTGAAGGTTTGTTTGTTTGAAGTTATGCACAAAGGTACACAATGGGCTATCTGTGCTCTGCCCACCACGGGTATCGAAACCAGCCTTCTAGCATTGTAAGTCCACAGACATACCGCTGTGCCACTGGGGGGGCTCCATCAATGAAAGACATATTCAATTAACTGACACATGATGTTGTTACCTAATAAGTTAGTAATAAGTTTATGGACTAATATCTGGGGTTCAAATCCTCATGGTGAACAGAGAACATTATAGCCCATTGTGTAGCTTTGCTCGAAAAATTTCAACACCTGAGGTATACCTATGGCCAAAATTAGTCATGTTTTTAAAATCTTTTATTTGAGAAGTTTTCTGTGGAGCTAATAAAGCTTATTAATTTTATACAAAAAGTTTTTTGAAACTGTCATGAAGTAATGTTTAATTTCATCAACAAAAATTCAGTTCTTTTAGTAGTCACGTGAAAATTTGTAGGGAAAAACTCATGGAATGCTATTAATCATATTTTCAGGTTGTTATTGGTTTTGTGTACTATGTTGTATATAGGATAAATTTTTGATGTACAACAGTTTAGGATTATAAGAATAACTTAAATTATTTTACCTAAAGATGTCTATCACACTAGAAAAAAGGGTAGCTTTAAAATGCCTTAAAAAAGGAAATAGGAAGATTAGACTTGTGTAATCCATAAACGATGCCAATGATTAATTGGTTAGCAAGTTCCATTAAATGTTTAGCTCTAATAAATTTTTTCATTAGAATCCTTCAAAAATATTCATAATACCTGTATTTTAAATTGGTCTAAATTAATTCATAGCAAATGTTAACTTTTATTATTGACCTTGAAATTAAAAGTCCAAGTTCTTCAAAATAATATCACATGATGTAACCTTCACATCTGTCTAGTATAGCCCTTTTTGTCAGCTTTTATGGGATAAAATAATTATAAGGTTAATAAGTACTTGTACAATATCTGAAGGTGGCAAGATTCATTGCTGGTATTAGTTTAATTAACTTGGAAATGTCAAAGTGTTTGGTTTTTTGTATAACTTTGTGGAAAAAAAGTAAATTAAGTAACCTACATGGAGTGCTCACTGAGAAAGTACATTTAGCAAGAGGGTTAAGGTGAAGTTTTTCTAAAAACAAAGGGAAAAACATTTTAACTGTTCTTTTGTTCCCAAATTTAGAATTATGAAGCTGAAACAATCTAACATTACTTTTAACAACACCAAAGGAAATTATCAACAACAGCTATATATATGATTTAATTACCAGTGAAAAGGCTTTCCACACATAATAACTTTATTGCATATTAAAATAAACTGCTGTGAGCTTTGTAACATTCACTCCAATTTATTAAACAATACCTAAGTACACAACAAAATGTTTTACCAAATATGCTAATATGAACAATCTGCAGTATTTGAAAAATGGTATGAAAAATATCCAAACAAACATTTTATAATAAAACAACAACTTCAAATTGAATATGACTAGTTCACTACCATAGCCTGAACTTCTTTTACAAATAAAAAGTAGACTGTTTTAATCTTTTCCTTTATTTTAATACAATAACTTACATTACTTTCAGGTGTCAGCTTCAGTAGATCCATTCTCTCCATGCTTACCCTTCGAACTCTTATCTTAGCTGAGAATATAAAGATTTGACATTAGAAACAACTACACACGGTAAATACAAAAGATATGTTAGGGACATTCTGTGCCAAATCATCACATTCATCAGGCATGACCATAACTGATGAAAATTCATGAGACATGCTTGAAATCAAAATTCTAGATTATATAGGTCCTGAGATAGGAATCATCAAAGCCTGGCCTGTTTCTACAAAATAGCGAAACATTCAAATGGCCACATCTTCTATTCTATTACACCTAGGAAGGTAATTATTGTACTATTTTGAAGCACTTTTATAGAACAGTCAAAAGCCTTTAAGTTATTAAACAAAAAAAGCTATCTTCAGAAATGATCTTTGGCCTTGATCTCTGTTCACAGCAGAATTAAAGATCACAAAGACTGCACCATTTGTAATTAGGTAATAATATTGTCAAAATTCCCTGAAATTTTTTTAGATTGGGCACCCAAGTAACTTCTGAGTGGCAGTCAGATGATGAGGTAAGGCTGGGGTGCGGTTGGTAGAATTGGTAAACCAGAAAAAAAATTAACAGCTTCCATGCACTTTACTCTTGCACAAGTGACCTTAAATGTATGTACTAAAAAGATGCAATCTTTGTTACCTTCAGTTTTGCTGTAAAGACAGAGGTCAAGGTCAGCCATAAAGATACCTTTAGAGATTTTTTCACCTTGGAAAAAAGAAGATTGGTCAAAAGAACAGAAACAAAACTACCAGTTGAATATTTCTGGTTAGCTGAAACAGGTCAAACTTTGATGATCTGTATTTCAGAAATGACATGACCTAGAGATTCCATGCAACATATGTTCCTCACTAACTATGCAAAATCAGAAGAAAATCAGTGACAGTCATAATAAATCTTACCTCAGAATGTGATGATTTAGTATGGTATGACCTTTTAACCATTTTTTCGAACATGTACACAATATTACCAGAAAAACAAAAATTAAGTAAATATTCATATTATTATTCTTAAAACTGACATCAAAAATAGATAAAAAGCAACAAAATGATTTTATGAGTATTAAATAAGTTATTTCTCTGTATATATTTCAGAAATATATGTTTAAACAACAGCTACAGTGGAGAGGTGGGGACACTTCATAAGCCAATACACCTGTATGAGTGAGAAGTTTCTGTTGTCAGAAATAATTTATTTAATACTCCAAGAAAAGAAAAACTATAATACTAAATCGGACAGCACATTGTTTAGGTTACTCAAGAAGGTTTTTACTATTATGTTTTGATGAAATTTAGAGACACATATGTATTCCTTCATGAAGTTGGTGAGGTAAGTTGAGGTCAGGCCAAACAACCTCACCAAACTAAACAAGGAACACACTAATGTCTCAATCATCAGAACATAATATTCAATGCAAGATGACCTAGTAAAATTCTAAAATCTTCCTGATTATGCTCTTTTGGCAACCATGAAACAGCTTATTTAAGCTATCATTTTCTATTCTTACAACAGTCCATGCTATAAAGCTTCATCATAACTTATGAATATAAAATTTGTCTTGGTAAACTGCACATATTTTATTTTTTTTTATCAATATTTGCAATTAAAAAATAATAACCAAATACTAAATATTTTTCACCAACTAGGGTAGATTTTGGTGTTATGAAGTTCTTGTGAAGTATTCGTGTTCAAGAACAAATAATCATTATGGAAAAATCTGTTTAAAGCTATGAAGAAAAACTATATTAAGAAACTTTTAAAACCAACAGGTAAACAGAAAAAAAACACCATCTTGTGCCAGATTTTACACCCCTCCTTTCATACGTAAAATATGCTAAAACAATTACTATAGAACCAATACACAAATACTAAATCAGATTTACAGTGAATGAAGCCATGTACATTTGCAGACAATTAAACACTGGCCCAAAACTAGTCTACACGTTTAAAGAACAAAAATATACCAAATGCGTAAAGAAAACAAATAACACATCACAGTCCAACATGCTAGTTCTTGCTAAATTTAGATATCCAGAAAATGATGAGAGTTGTTGACACAAGTTTTTACAAATAAACACCACACAGAAGCTAAAGCTTAGACATAAACATTGTATAGTTCTGAATGGATTGTTCTATTACTGTACCACGTTTAGCTAGCTAGAGCATTCCATTACAGACATCCATACTTAAGCAAAAGCTTTCCACAAAGATTGTACAACTTTCTTGTAACCTTACAAAGTAATTTTTCAATTACAGAGCACAATAAGGGCAGATGTTAGATGCTGAAACGTACCACATACATCATGTTACGAGACAGATCATCATCAAATTGCTACTGCATGAAATAACTGGTGAAGAATCAATATTCAAAGAAGACATTTTACAATAAAACTATATTTACAATTTTAATTGAATAACTTTTATTTTGACAGTTATCTGCTCATGAAAGCATGTGAAAATAAGACATAATTGCTTCTATTATTAAAATCAGGTTGTAAAATTCTAAATGCACATGTGTAGCACGAAAGATAATCATACAAGGTCACAATATTCTGTTCCAGAACATGGTAGGAGTCAAATATAATTTTTAACCAGGCGACAAATGTTCTGTCATGGAGGTAAACTATCACTATTTATTTATATTAATATGTGTTAAAAACCTGACTTTTTTCTATCTAAATACTTACACATGTAGTCATAAAAGTCAACACTATGATCTGATAATTTGTTTATAGTACTGTATCTCCATTATATATTTGTCATAAGAAAATGTATTAGGCTTATTGTATTTTTAAATACTATAAACTTCATTCAGTTCCTTAGGTGTTTTTTGAAACCACACAACATCAGTTATATTTACTGTAGATGATACATTTTGTTCCCTACCAGAGCTTATCTGGCCAGCTGAGATACAACAAATATAGAAAAGTGTTTAAAAATACAATAAACCTAATACTATTATCTTACGACAAATATAATTGATTTAATCACACTTCATCAGGATAGAGACATTCACACCATAACAATTATCTTTATTATATGTTTTTTCTCCATTTATTTAACAGATAGAATAATAGTTAACCTTTGCACAATTTGCTTTTCCTTTAAGTATGGTACACATGAAAAAATGCATATGAAGGTGAAAAAAACTAGCTTATTGTACTATCCAATACACATTATTTTCTACTGTGCCTACATACAAAAAACATGTGAACCAATTTAGGATCTATCTCAATGTGCTATCTTGTTTAGCTTTTCTATCTACTTACAAATGAGTACACTGGTGTATCAACAATATATGTATGCTTCAAGTAAAATCTGGAACAAGTAATTAACATAGTATACTATGTGCTATCTTCTCATACTTAGGTCTGTGAGAGAGAAATAAAAACTTTACTTTATTATAGCATATTATTTTGTCTTGTCTTTCAAAGTGAAAACAATACGATGAAACTTACCTGGTGTGTTTTCCATACTTCCATGTGTAATTTTGTCTTCTATGTGATTTTGAGCACCTAAAATATTTTGCAACTCAACAACTCCCATGTTTGCACTGGTTAAACCAACTTTGTCCCCAATCTGTTTGGTTGAAAAGGAATAGAAAAAAAAAAATAATAATCTCACTACCTCCTCCCCATGCCCCCCCAAAAAAGTTTGTCTAATAAATAAGGCATGTTTTTCTGAGGATTGCATGTGAATTGGAATCTCAAAACTGTCATAGGTTATACATTTCTAATATGATTTGTGTATGTTATATAAAGGTTAAAAGGAAAGAAGAAATTTGTTTATATTTTTGTTACTTTTCAGGATCTTTGTTCTCTACCTTTTTGCATATTTATTCCTATAATGTATATTTAAAATATTTATTTACTGAAACTTCTAACTCATACCTTTTAAGATTCAGTTTTTAGTTGGATTGCATTTCACACAAGAAATAGATCTTCAAAACTGTGAAACAATACACGCTTTAATATGCAAATGTTCATGTATAAAAACTCAAAATATTCAAACAACCCAAACCTACAAAATGCTTATATTTGTTTATCAGCTGTAATGCAATAAAAACAATCTATGTTTGTGTAAATAAACTTTTCTTTCACAAATTCCTTGAAATTGTATTTAAACGTTCACAATGAGTAAGAAGAAGTATCAACATTGTTGCTGAGGTTAATATTTAAGATGACTTGAAATTAAGAAGAATAAAAAATTATTTAAAAAGTTTATTCCCTTGAATTATAAACAAAGCTACTTGAGGGCTATCTGTCCCTAATTTAGAGGTGATAGACTAAAAGGGGAAGGCTGATAGTCAACACCACTCACTGCCAACTCTTTTACCAATGAAAAGTGGGATTGACCATCACACTATAACAACTTCACACCTGAAAGGGCAAACATGTTCGGTGATGGGACTCAAACTCACGACCTATGCATTATACACTGAGTGCACAAACGAATAAGTTGTTACAAGAAAAAAAAATCTTCAAATTTTATGATTACAGCACAGTTAAGAGGTTGTTGATATAATATTTACAGAACTGCAATAACATGATGCACACCATAGAAGTGTAGATAATACAAAAAAACAACAACATATAAATGTTAAAAAAACCTGTAAAATTGATCTCTCACGCATTACATAAGAAGATTTTCACTGTTTAACATTTTCATCTTGTACATTAAGAATGACTGGACTGACACAGAGTAATGAATGTTGATTTCCTGAAGTGGGTACATGAGATCTATACTCCAAGATGTCTATATATAACTCTAAACCTATGTATGATTTACAAAACCATGTGCTGTACCACATACAGAATTTTTTTTTCAATGGAAAAAAATAACTTTAATAGTAAAAGAGTGTAAAAAGATACTTAATATATTATGGTAGTGGCATGTAGGAAAGTCAGAGGTGTGGTGGCACTATATTCAATTTTTATACTGTAACAAGTTAATTGGTCTAGTTTTTCCATATTTTCTTGATGACAGTAATGTTAACAGCCTTCTAAAAACTGGGGAATAACTAGTTTGAAATGATAATAAAATGAGATGTCAAGTGAATTGAAATGTTTAATAACTATAGTGCAAGTAGTATCATAACCAGCTGGTGGATGCTGAAGTGACTTGCACAGTATTAGCACATGTTAGGTGCACCACCTGGTGTTGATAGATAAGATGGAAAAATTAAGCCAGCATACAAGCTTAGTAACATCATATTTTAAATGATCCTAAAATTACTTTAGCAAATGCTGAGATGACAAGTTCAGTATTAAACAAGGTCGTGAAAGTAAGGAAAAACAGTATGGTAGAAGTAGAGTTTCTGTTAGTACACACATGCACATTCATGACCTTCCCAAAATACTCTTTAGGACGTATACAAACTACGTCATATATACGTGCAGTAGATGCACAACATTTCCTTCCTTAAAATACTTGAAGTGATACTGTTGTTAAATCTAAATTGATCTGAATGTTAATATTGGCATCACTGGAGATATGAGATCTATACTCCGAGATGTCTAAATATAACTCTACACCTATGTATGATTTACAAAACAATGCACTGTCCACATACAGGGGACAGGTACATTTGCTTGTACTGTATAAAACTATGGTTAAAGTATTCTTTAAAGATTCATCCTCTGCCATGCCACATAAAATACAGTTTTCTGAGTGAGAAGGCAGAAGAACAGAAAAAAAAAGTTTCATCTTTACTAATGGAAAAGCAAATAAATAAATGAAAATTAGCAGTGGAAGTTATTTTGGGGCCAATATATATCCTAATGTAATATCAAGCCACAGTGCCTTTTTAATATCAGCACCACCCAACACAAAATAGTGGTACATGATTAGCCTCAAAAGCTACAGTGCAGAAACCTAAGCTTTTTCTTTGGATCCTCAAACTATCCAATTTGAAGGAAACACTGATAAGAGCTCAAGCTAGTAGATGCTACGCCCAGTACTCAACAGTATATCTCATTGCAGATCACATGCTAAGTACCAACAATAACCAATAACAAATGTGCTTCTTGTTTTGAAAACACACACACACAAAAAAACACCAAATTTGCTTCACCATGTATACATACATACTATCATAACCATGATGGAAAATTCATTTACTGGCCCTTTCACTCAAAGATTCAGTTATAATTAATGTTTTAGAATTAAACCAAATTTCTTCAATCAATAAAAATAATTATGAAGTAACTAAGGTTTCTAACTAGCATATTCTCAATGGTCAACAGAAAAATGTTTTATATCAATTAACTTTTTTTTATTAATTACTTGTTTTACCAAAAGTTTTGTGAGACAAATGAAAAATGCACAGTATACACAAGTACCTGTTCTGCAATATATAAATGTTTTGTAGCATATTGTAGTGCCTTCTCATTATCACCAATAGCAGAATAAGCATTACCAAGACTCCAACAGGCTCGACCTTCACCAACTCTGTCTTTCAATTCCTTGGCTATTTGCAAGTGTCGAAGATGGTATTTAATGGCAGTGAGATAATCATGAAGAAGCGTGTAGGTATTGCCTAAACTGTAACAAGCTTGAGCTTCTACAGCTCTGTCTCCCAGTTCCTCAGCAAGACTCAAAGTTTTCCTAAAAAGGTTGAAGTAAAACAGATACTGAAAGTTGCAGAAGCAATCAACTTAAATAATAAATTTCCGGTATTAATTTTTATTAGTTCAAATGCAGAAGTTGTCACACACACACACAATTACAATTACAATTACTGGCTACCACGAGTACTGGAGACTCTTTCACTCCTTGTTATGAAAAAGGATGGTGTAATAATAAATGTCCCTGAAATAAGACTCATCTAGAAACTATCCACAGTATTATATATACATACACAGAAAAAATACTTACTTGTAGTGTTCAGCTGCAGTTTCAAATTCACCAAGAAAAATATGTGCATTACCCAAATTGCTGTGGGCTCTGCGTTCGGCTGCTTTGTCTCCAAATTCTCTTGCTATGCTGAGCCTCTTTTGAATGTAAGTAAAGTAAGATATAAATTTAACAAAATCTCAATAAAAACAATAATACATTAAATTCTTCTCATGACGGTTTGACCTCTTACTCAATACACATTACTATGATTATTATATAAAACTTGTCAACAAAACAGGATGAGTGAGAAAGAGACAAAAAAACAAAGATAACTCAATTCTACAAAAAACATTTGATTAAAAAATTTAATACTCATATTTGGAGAAACATAATGAAATTTTGTAATGAAAACAAAATCTATGTCAGTTTATTTTTTTCAAAAAATACTGGAAAGTTCAACTTCATCCTTAGAAAATAAACGGATTATTTTCAAACAAATTGTAAAGTTGTATGGTTTGAACTTGTGGTTATATTAATTAAAATCTCTAAAGCTGCATTTTCTTCCTAATAAACTTAGTTATGAAACTTTATAAAACATACTTTTATTGGTTAGAAACTATTGTATTTTCATATGCAATTGATAATTTAAACTAGCAGTAATAAAGTTTCATGTAATGCAATATTACTCATAGGAGATTCTTTCTACCCAATGGGCTATCTGCACTGTGCCTACTGAGGGTATGAAATCCCTATTTTTAGCATTAAAAACATCTTCAAGCTTATTGCTGAGCCACAGGAAGGCTCTTTTATAAATAATTGTCACAGAGGTTGTTGTAAGGTGGGTCCAGGAAGCAGATACAAGACAATCTAAACTCTGTTCACTTTTCAACAACCATCTAAACAGCTCAGCTGTATAAGAACTATTGATCAATCAACAATTAGACTTACAAGTATTTCACGCACATTTAAGTTGTACTAAAAAATATGAAAGAATATCACAACCACCCTTTACTTGTATATACAAAAAATACAGATAAGATAGTACAACACTAGAATATTATATATACTTATTATATGATCATCAAACAAATCACAAGAACAAATAAGGACACTACCATTATTCACTAATTGTTCTAAAGAAAAACTAAAAATTCTATATAGTACAACACTAGAATATTATATATACTTATTATATGATCATCAAACAAATCACAAGAACAAATAAGGACACTACCATTATTCACTAGTTGTTCTAAAGAAAAACTAAAAATTCTATAAAACAAGTCATATTAAGTAGAAGTTGCAACTATCTACTGGTTGTTCTAAAAATACTCTAGAAAACAAGTGGTATAAAATAGAAGTTGCATCCATCCGCTTGTTGCTCAAAAAAAATTCTAGAAAACAAGGGGTATTAAACTGAAGTTCCATCTATCCACTGGTTGCCCCCAAAAAATTTCTAGAAAACAAGTGGTATTAAATAGAAGCTACAATCATTTACTGGTTGCTCAAAAGACTTTAAATAGTAGAGGGCAACAGAAGTCAAACACTACATCCACCCAATTTTTGTTTCAAGAAATACTTCTAGAAACAAGAAGTAACAGAAATCAGAAACACTATACCTAAGTAATTGTTTCAAGAAACAAATATATAAAACAAGAGGTGGTAGAAGTCATTACATCTATTCACTTGTTGTTCTAAGAAACAATGATAAAACAGGTAACTAAAGTTAGGAATACTACATCTACTTACTCTTAAAAAAAGCCCTGTAAAATAAGAGGTAACAGAAGCTAGAAACAATACATCTATCCACTTGTTCTATTACTTCTATAAAAGATATAAAGTACAAAGATCACAGTAGCTATACATATTACAATGATTTTACAGTTGTTTTCATAAATGGGTTTATTAAATAGAGTTTAAAAGACAAGACCAACCTCTTGATGATATGAAATAGTTTTAGGAAAGTCCCCTA